CGCAAGGGCCCCCTAAAAACAAAACGAGTTTAGAACCAAATTTTTCCGTGGTTACCCAAGCCTAGTACATATGATAGAAACTTGGATAGATATTGCCCTGATGGAGGAGAAAATCTAAATACAGTGTTCCCTCGCTACTTTGCGGTTCGCTTTACACGGACTCGCTGTTTCACGGGTTTTTGAAAATATTAATATAAAATATAAAAAATGTACATCCAATGGAGGCCAGGGACCCCAGAAGTGTGGTGGCCTGAGGTGCTGCCTGCTGCCTGCATGGCTCTGGAGGCTCTGCCGGGGTCTGTGGAGGCCAGAGAGGCAGGCAGGGGCCCTTGGGATGGGCTGGGAGGCAGGTAAGGAAGTGTGGGTAGGAAAATAATATATAAAATATATAAAATAATGTATAAATATTAGAATTAATATAGTGTCCCTACTTTGCGGATTTTCACTTATTGCGGGTGGTCCTGGAATGGAACCCCTGTGATAAGTGAGGAAACTCTGTATTCCCTTGAGAAGAAATCTACCAGAACTTTGTTGGATGCAAATACAAAAGCCAAGTGAAACACCCATTATATCCATTAATATAGAACAGTGGTTCTCAACCTTCCTAATGCCACGACCCCTTAATACAGTTCCTCATGTTGTGGTGAACCCCAACCATAAAATTATTTTCAGTGCTACTTCGTAACTGTCATTTTGCTACTGTTACGAATCGTAATGAAAATATCTGATATGCAGGATGGATTTTCATTCATGGGACCAAATTTGACACAAATACCAGATATACCCAAATCTGAATACTGGTGGGCGTTGGGGGAGGGGGGCATTGATTTTGTCATTTGGGAGTTGTAGTTCTTGGGATTTATAGTTCATCTACAACCAAAGAGCATTGTCAACTCCACCAACGATGGAATTGAACCAACTTGGCACACAGAATTCCCACAACCAACAGAAAATACTGGAAAGGTTTGGTGGGCACTGACTTTGAATTTTGGAGTTATAATTCACCTACATCCAGAGAACACTATGGACTCAAACAATGAAGGATCTAGACCAAACTTTGCACGGATGCTCCATATGCCCAGATTTGAACACTGGTGGAGTTTGGGGTAAAATAGACCTTGACATTAGGGAGTTGTAGTTACTGGGATTTATAGTTCACCTACAATCAAAAAGCATTCTGAACCCCACCAATGATAGAATTGGGCCAAACTTCCCACATGGAACCCCCATGACCAACAGAAAATACTGTGTTTTTATGGTCTTTGGCAACCCCTCTAACACCCCTCATGACCCCCCCAGGGGTCCTGACCCCCAGGTTGAGAAACACTGATATAGAAACTAGGGATGGGCGATCAATTTAAAACTTGGGGGAGGGGGGCATTGATACTTCATTTCTAAAATGTTTCTAAAGTATACTTGGTGAAAATTTTGTTACTATAATGAGATTAATGAAATTTTGTTATTATTTTGCAACAGTAATTGCGCATAATTCAATCAATATAATCGGGGAAATTTTAGAGGCTCTTGTCTCCCTCATTTTTAAGGCTATTTGTGTGAAACTTGCTACAATGGTAGAACACATTGACCACTGTTATCCCACCAAATTTTAGAATGTTTCACTCATCCACGTATTTTTGGTGAATTTGCAAAGTTTTAGGAAGGGACAGATTTCTCTTTCTGCTATCCTGATTGGTGCCTTCTGATGCTGATTCAGTCTGGGAAATGTAGTTTAGGGCAGGACATAGGGATCCTCCCTTCCCAAAATGCATTACTCCCTCTTTTCACCACTCCTACTGCCGAGAGGAGATGCCATTAATTCCAAGGAATGGCAAGGCAGGTGCTGATGCAGGCACGGGCAGGCAGCCTTTTTGGCTTAATGGCTTTGCTTCCTTGCATTGAATATGAAATTTACTTTGGGAGCCTTCTGAGATTTACAAAATGAAAAAGAAAAAGGATGGGGTAAGTTTCGATTCTAAAATATTTGGTGTGGACCACGCAAATGCTTTGGATACGGCATCCGACTTACAAAACTTTCAATTTTCTTATGATTTCCAACTCTTCCGATTTTTTTTGCACATGCTTAATAGAAACAGTACTCAAACAGATGCCAAATCCAAGAATCAAAGAAAACTATGCAACAAAATTTGAAAATAATTCTGTTCCTGATTTGAAAGTGTTATTTCCTGTTTAATTGTGTGGCACCTCCTTATAACTCCTTATAACCAGTAAAACCCAGCTGCAACATATTCCTTTCATGCTTCCACCATTAACTGCTTTAACCTGTAAACTCTATGTGCTGTCACACGCTGGGCCTGTAGCAGTTGTCTATTAACAGGTCGTGATCTTTATGTGTCCAGCGGGACGCCGGGGTGCCTCGGCTGAGAGGCCCTATGAATTTCCTTATACGAAGTCTTTAGATTGTGGTTCTCAACCTGGCGTCCCCAGATGTTTTTGGCCTTCAACTCCCAGCAATCCTAACAGCTGGTAAACTGGCTGGGATTTCTGGGAGTTGTAGGCCAAAAACATCTGGGGACCCAAGGTTGAGAACCACTGCTTTAGAAGCTTGGAAAGTTTAACAAAGTTTTTTATTGGTGCAACAAATCAGTCAAATACTTCTCAGATCTTCAACAAATCAACCAACTGTTGTGGTTCAGCAACAGCATGATGGACATGATGGGACTGAGAGTGCAAGTGGGCATGATGGGAATGGG